GGTTAATAATTGATAGAAATATTTTTTTTTAAGGATAAAATAATATTTAACGCGGTACAAGAGTCATATTAATTCAGTTCATTAAATTTGAAGAAAGTGGAGTGTAATAAAAAATTGAAAAGACGTCCTGTCAAATGCATACAGCTTTTTTTACTGTTTAGTTGGGGGTGATAAATTTATTAAAATAAAAAATTAAGAAGATAAAATTGACGTAAATTTTAAATAATCAATTTTATAATTTTAAAAGTTGAATTAAATTTAATTATTAAGATTAAATTGTGGTTAGTAGAATTTATATTTTAAAAGGGAATTTTAATTTGTATACTACGTATGATATGAATATTAATTTGATTGGTGGTCTAGAATGAAGACTCTTGAAGAAAGTGATCACTTTATTTCAATTTATAAAATAGTAATCAAATGAAAATGAGGGTAAATGATAAATTAGTTTTTGATTAAATAGAAAAGGTAAAAAGAAAATTTAATTAAATAAATGTAATGTGAAATGAATTTGAAGAATGATTAATTCAAATAGGAATTGGAATAGCGTAAAGAGGAGAAAGAAGGACCGAAATAAATAAATAAATAAAGGAGAGTCGAGTAAAAAAGCAAGTATTCTTTTAAAAGTAGTATATCAACATCTTAAATTACTTGCTCAGCAAGTTGAATAATTAAGAGCAAATTGCGGTGTAGAAAAAAGGGAGGAGGGGGCAGAGGGATGGAACAGAGTCAGTACAGAGCGAGTACTGGGTACGAAATAAAATGAAATGAGAAGAGTCTCAAAGCTGTGGAGACGGAGAAGGTCGTGAAATGAAGAAAGACCCCAAACAAAGTTACTGGTGAATAAAAGCGAGAAGAAGAAAGAATAAAAAACTGTGAGCTGGATATTGCAATTAAACGGCCGCGGCTTACAAATTGGGGGTTGAATTTTTTAGGCTGAGGGGTGCTGGACGTCGGCAGGACCGGATTGGGGTCTCCGCTACGGGGGTAGCTCCTGCTAGTGGTAGTATTGCGAGAAAAAAATCCATAAGGGTTTCTACTCTCACCACGCTCTAAAACTTGTCGGAGAGGGGCTGGTGGGGTCGCCAAACGGCCGAGGGGGTGGTCTCGTCGTGCCAAAGGCTAAATGAAACCCGGAGAGACCTTCGGCGACGCATCGAGGAAAACATGGCGCACTGAGGACTCATCAAGCTTCGTTAATATATTTCATACCGTTAATGAGGCTTCAACTTTTTTTCTACCTATTTACTATTTCATTTTTTTTTTTTATGTTGGATACTGTCTGTGTATTAAATTTTTTCTCGAGTCATCATTAAAAGTAATTGCCATGAAATTAAATTAAAAATTTTAATGAGCGTTCACAGACTTCATTAATTTTTTTTATTATTGTGGAAAATTTATGGTACTGATTATTAATCAATGTTTTATGCAGTAAAAATTTTAATTTTTTGTTACGTAATTTAAGGAAGATAGCTTTAATTTGTAAATTTGATTAGAATTGAAAAAAATTTTTTTTTTTTATTGAAAGCAAGTTTATTTAATTAATCTGAATGTATTTCATTGATAAAAAATTAAAGAAATTCAAGATAAAAATTCTTGAATCAATTTTTTGATTAAAAATTTCTTTATCAAAAGATATTTTTTTCAAGAATTTTTTTCTTGGATCTAAGTAAATTTTATTATCAGTATTTAAATAATTGAATCTAAAGTAAACAATTTTAATTTATTTTTTCTTTAATTTTAATTGTATTTTTTAAGCGAATTTTTCGACAAAAATAGAGTTAAAGTCAATTAATTTCTTTGCAATTTTTCATAAAACCAAAAAATAATTTTTCTTTAATTTAATAAATGGAATGTAATTTAATTTCTAATTAAATACTAATTTGAACATAAAATCTAATTAATATTTTTTAAAATAAATGTATGAACGCACTATAAGTAGATTAAGATTATAAAAATAATAAACAATGAAAAAACTCAATTATCTTCCTCTAATTAAATGAATAATTAATGACTCCGTATTTGATAAAAGCAAAACTTGAATAAAAAAATTTTCTCTAGTCATAAAATAGACATTAATTAGTAAAGCAAAGTAACTCTTGATTAATTATTAATGAATGGTTTAATAACTAAAATGAATAAACCGACTGGCGTCATCAGTATTGCAAAGAAATAACTAGTACCCGGTAGAAAAAAATCTAAATAAAATAAACAAACTTGCATAATAAATTCATAATTTGAAAGGATGAAATGGTACTCTAAGCCAACACTAGTTTAATAATGTAGAGAGTAAAAAAAATCCATAGAGAGCACCGACCGCGCCCATCATACATATATAATAGACGCTTCTACCCTTCTCGCTTCACCTATACTCTTTCATCTGGTGCTTCGAGGCAACTTTCCTTCATCTTTCCTCATCCACTTCCTCCTTTCAGCTTCAACTTCTTCTACATCCACATCCGCATCTACATCCACACCTACTTACACATCTTGGTCTCCTCATTTCCCGGCGCCGCCTTCCTTAAAGTACTTTCAATCAATATTTAAAGAATTGCGCTTTAATAACCACCTCATCCCCTACGCACTATCAAACCTCTTCATTTATATTTATTTCAAACCGATCCTCTGGACTTTGTCTAGACTATCGTTCAATGACCACCCGGTTGATAAGAGGAATTATCCAGATAATTCGCAATGACTCGCGATCAAGTAGCCCTGAATTGAAGCCACAGCAGATAAGGGAGGTTTTGAAAAGTTTTATCAAGCACTGATAAAATAGATACTTGAAACTTTTGTATAGATACATTTTTTAGCAAGAATTTAACTTTGCATCGGTGAGTATATTGCTGATTATTCGCATTAATAAAAATGGAAAATTTATGAAAAACTTACCGTAAGCTCTGCGTTAAATTCCCTCTAACTGGTTGAAGCGGTGACCTGGCTATTTGGATAATGGCTATTTGATAACAGACTGACCGCTGATTCTGGCTTGAAAATTTTTTCTGATGGGCTTCAAACTGACACCCTACTGCATGGGATACTGAAAACAACAGATATAAATTTTTTTTTTATTATTTATTTTAAAAAAATCCTAAAAATTATTAAATATCTGTAAATTTATTAGAGCAAATATTTTTTCTTATGAAGGATTTGTAATAAAAATAAAAATAAATTATCATAAGGTAAAAGACCCAGTTATTGACACTGGCCTAGTTATTGACACTTGCAATTTTATTTTAATAAAAAAAAAAAACGAATCAACTCTAATAAATTTATAAATATTATAAATTTTATAATAATTGATTTTTTGAAAACTTTTTATTGTTTTTAATTAGAAAACATTGTCATTAATATTGTTATTATTATTAAAAATGCCGATTGTATCAATATTAGCATCGTTAGGATTGATATCATTGATGTCGATATTGTCATGATCATTGTCTTCATTATAGAGATTATTTTCTATGATCGTATCATTAATGGATCGTCGCAATTTTGATAATCTTAATTTTTTTACATTGTTTGTAGATCGGCTTAGTTGCGATTTTTTTTTTGTCATGATAGGTATTCTGTGAATGTGTTTAAAAATTTTTAAAAACTTAATAATTCTATGAAGTCACTATTTTATTAAGATGAAATATTTAGTCAACGTGAATATATTAATTATTATACTAACCTTTATAAATTGAAGACCCTCTTCTTCATTCAACTAACCAACAAATACTAAACGTATCATAACCAATTAATACTAAACAAAACATAAATGAACAAATGACAGATATATTCTTTTTTATTTTTAAACAAAAGATAGTAGAGAAAATCACATATTTACATAACCTATAAATGAGTCTACCTTCTTTTGTTTTTCTTCAAAAAACAATCGAATAAATTATAGAAGATTGTCATTTGTTTTAAATGAAATAACAGTTTTACATAGCCTATAAAAAATAAAAAATGAATGATCAAGAAGTGCATAGAAGTGCGTAGGTGGATGCGTGGGTGGATGCGTGGGAGTGCGTGGGTGGATGCATAGGAGTGCGTGGGTGGGTGTGGGAGTGCGTGGGAGGGTGTGTGTGGAAACGCGTTTAGAAGTGTTTAAGTTTACCTGTCTTTATGCGCTTGAATATCGCTGTTCATTTGTTTTATTAGCGGAAACAAATGACTATCCACATAAATTTAAAAAAAAATGGGAAAAGGTTGATGGAATTTAAACAATGAATAGCCTAAAACCTTCTACAATTAATTCCGCGTCGAATGGTCATGGTCTCATGCCATGATGAAAAAAAATATGACATTAAAGTTAGCAGTCGCTTGACAATTTTTTGATTTTTTTTTAATAAAAAAAATTTTCTCCGAAAAATTATTTTTAAAAAATTGGATTTGTTATTTTCTTAATTTTCTAAATCTCAATTTTTTTCTTCTCATTTTCTTTGACATAAGTTGTAAAAAATTAAAAATTATATTTTTTTTCTGAGAAAATTATGATCCTGAAATCAGCAGGCATACAATTGTTAAAAAAAAATTTGATAAAAAAAATAATTTCCAAAAATTCGCACTTATAATTTTTTTTGTAATTTTTACCAGTGAAATTTTGATTATTTTTATTTTTTTTCATGATAATTTAATTGTTATACAAATAAAAAAAAATTCGTCGGAACGAATTCATTTGTTAAAAAAAAAATTAAAAAATGATCAGGTGACTGGTAACTTTATGAAAATTACTTTTAAAAATTCAAAATGTCGGCTAAATTTAGTATTATGCTAATTTCAATGTTATAAAATTGACAAAAGTCTGTGAATTGACTTATATACCTATGTTAGCAGAATGCCGTCAATTTAAATAAAAATATTAAAAAAATTTTGACTTTTCTACTTGTCATTTTTGCAATGTCAGTTATGTATACTAAAACCGCTAAAACCGTTCGTAGTTCCCGTTTACAACAATACTATCCACTATACTGACCTGAAGTTACTTATCGACTAAGTTCAAGTCTTGGAAGATGACTAGTGGCGCCGCGCATGTTCGCGGCAGAAGAAACACGAACTTCTCACGGCGAAAGGCAACGACTGGCGCTCAGTCTTTTTCCCAACGTTTATCCTTAGAAAAAGTATGTAATGACGTATAAATTTATTTAATCTTTAATATTTAATAACATCTTTGGTAAAGTGATAACACAAATTAATTTAAAAAATATAATTAAGATGAATGAATAATATGTTGTATTTATTTGCAGTTATTTTAATCAGATAAAGTTTAAAAATATATCATTTATTACCTTAGAGGTTATGTTTCACATGTGTTGATATGAACAATAAATTAATTGTTGTGATGTAAAAATTAATTGTTGATTTATTTTACTAATTATTTTTATTTTACAGATCTAAGATGGGTAAGCGCGACAACATGGTGCCCAATGGGCATTTCCACAAAGCGTGGGAACGCAACGTCAGGACCTGGTTTAACCAGCCTGCCAGGAAATTAAGGCGCAAAAACAACAGAATTAAGAAGGCTAGAGCTGTTGCCCCTCGGTATGAATTTTTTGTTTATTTTAATTATTAAATTCTTGATTTTATGAGTACTAACTCTTAGTGCATTAATTTTATTTTTAATTTTTTGCTCCAAATTAAATTAACCGCACTTGATATTTTCTTTTTATCTATTTAAATTATGAAAATTAAGTTAGCCGACATTTTAAATTTTTTTTTTATTGAAAAAAAGAAAAAAAAATATCACTTGTAAAAAACTTCAAAAATTATAAGTGCAATTTTTTTAAAATATTTTTTTAGTTATAATTTAATAAATTAAGCAAAATAAAAAAATCAAAAGTGTCGGCTAACTTTATTATTATTTTAAATTTATGAAAATTGAGTTAGCCGACATCTAAAAGCTTTTAGGATTTTTTTTTTTGTAAAAAAAATTGTCATTTGTAAAAAACTGTAAGTGCAATTTTAAAAAAATATTTTTTAGTTCTAATTAAATAATTTAAAACGTCGGCTAACTTTAGTGTTATTTTAAATTTAATGTTTGTTGAGTTTCTTAAAATTTTTAGCATTTAAATATTAATTAATTAATTAATTTTTTTCAGCCCTGTTAAACGTTTGAGACCAATCGTAAGATGCCCAACTGTCAGGTATCACACAAAAGTTCGTCAGGGTCGTGGATTCACGACAGACGAGCTCAAGGCTGCTGGTATTAATCGACGAGAGGCACCAACTATTGGAATTGCTGTCGATTATAGAAGACGTAACAAATCAATTGAGTCTCTTCAGATCAATGTCGCCAGATTGAAGGAATACCGCTCCAAATTGATCCTCTTCCCCAAGAACGCTAAGAAGGTAAATTATTAGATTATACAGAAGTTAGCCAACATTTTTAATTTTTTTTTAATCATTCAATTACCCAAGTGTCACAAAAAAAATGTTGACTTTTTGGTAGATTTTACTCAACAAGAAGTTAAAAAATTAATAATCGTCAACTTGAATTCAACAAAACATTAATAACTAAAATATTATTTAATTCTAATTTAATAATTGAAAAATAACTCAGAAACATATCAATGTCGGCTAACTTTACTATTATATTAGTTGACATAATTTTAGTAGCTGTGAATTTTTTAAAAATTTATGTAAAGTTAAATTTTGTACCAAAAATATTAAAAATTTTATTTATTTAACTGACGATTTTATTTTGTCTATTATAAAAAATTTTTGCTTGAAAAAAATTATTAATTTTGAATTTTATTCTACAACTATTTACAATTGTTATTTTTAAGTTGACTAAAAAAATTAATTTTTATATTCAAAATAATGTACTAATATATGATTGATTGATTAATTCACAGCCGAAGAAGGGTGATGCAACTGAAGAAGAGTGTAAGGTTGCCACTCAGTTGCGTGGACAAATAATGCCATTCGGTCAGAAGAATGCTCCCAAATTGAAGGCTCGTGTGATCACCGAGGAAGAGAAGAAGATCTCTGCTTACGTGACTCTCCGTAAAGCCCGCTCTGATGCCAGATTAGTTGGAATTAGAGCTAAGAGAGTTAAGGACGCCGCTGAGAACCCAGATGATGTCACCAAGGTTCCTGTTGGAGATAAGAAAGCTAAAAAATAAACCGCGTCTTTAACTTTTATAATTAACTAAATAAATGAAAAAATACAATTTAACATTTATCTTTGTTTTATTTACAGTTTGAAAAGGTTCCGGCCGATAATTCTCACCTCTGAATTATTCCTTAGAAATAATAATAAATTTAATTAACAAATCATTGAATAATCATCCTAAAATAATTAATCAAAAATGGGTCCTTTTCCAGACTGTTTTTGAATTCTAAAAAATTTTTCTTTGCCCAAGTCCAAAATATTAAAAAATAAATAGAGCATTTATTTAATGCGAACATAATTTTTAAATTGATACATTAGTCCAGTAATAAGTCATTAGATTTGCATGAAAATTAATTTTTTATAATATTAAAAATTTATTTTATTTTTCTAAAAATAAGTAAAAAAAATTATAGAACAAAAACTCGACACGTAGAAATTAAAAATAATAAAAATTGCAATTTTTTTTAATTTAACAAAAATTAAATTAGCCATCTAAAAATTTTAAGAATTTTTTTTTATTGAAAAAATTATTACAAGAAAATAGAAAAAAAAATTTTAAAATAAAAAAAAAATATTTTTTGTTCTATTTTAATTATTAAAAAAAAATGTCGGCTAACTACTTTTAATAATAATATAAAGTTAGCCGACGTTTTTAATTTGTTTTTTAATTATTGAATTAGAACTAAAAAATATTTTTTAAAAATTGCACTTTCAGTTTTTCGAGTTTTTTACAAATGAAAATTATTTTGTAATAATTTTTTTAATAAAAAAAAGTTCTTAAAATTTTTACAAGTCGGCTAACTTAATTTTCATTTACTTTTATTAAATTTTAATTTAAGTTGGCGGAATAAAGTGTGCAAATCTTAATACCGTATGTGTACATATTACATGAACATGTAAGCAAGTACGTAATGTAACGTGTACTATCGCGTATATTTAGTTTTAATAGTAATTTAAGCGCTAACCACTGTATGATTGAGGGCGCAAGTCGCTGAGCTCTGGTAGCACCTTGAAATGTTGAAATTCTTTGGAATTAAATAACTTTGTTCATATGTCTTACTCTTACGTATAGTATAAAAGTATATAACAGTAACAGTTGAGTAGGGTCCGAGTACGAGTAAAAAAGTAGATCCACATAACATCCACCATCTGTTAGCCTGTTTGTATGTATTTGTATCTGCAGTCAATGTTTTTACACCACCTTGATATCCTTTAATTCTATTTACGGACGACATTATTATAATTGTCATCACAGATCATAGAAATAGTGTTTTTTTTACACACAAGTGTCTTTACGTCTGCTGACTGGGTTGTGTCGTATGTTGAAATTAAAACCCGACGCAGCTCTGTTTACAATCACCGCACCAGTGTCAATTAATAATTAATTAAATAATTATAATAATCACCAAGCCAGGATTTGTGTTTTTATCTCACCAACAGACAGGTAAATTATATATTTATTTATTATTCACTCCAAAATTAATTACAAACTCGTGCTCTGCCTCAGAGTTTCATATGGTCCAATGGCTAACCTCTAATTTAATTATTTCCACTCATAAAATTTGATGACATTAAAGTTAGCAGTCACTTGATCATTTTTTAATTTTTTTTTAACAAATACATTTTTTCCGAAAAATTATTTCAAAAAAATTGGATTTCAATTTCTTTATGTCAATTTTTTTTTCTAATTTTTTTTATCATAATTTATTTCTTAAAAAAATTAAAAGAATTATCAAATATCTGCTAAATTAATTTTCATTAAAATTTTATTTAATTTAAAAATTTATTATTAAAATTAATTTAGGAGATATTTGATGATTTTAAGAAATAAATTAAGTCAAAAAATTGACATGTAGAAATTTTAATAAATTAAAAATGCAATTTTTTTTTAAATAATTTTTCGGAACAAATTCTTAAGTGACAGTTGGCTTTAATGTAAAAATTTATTTTTGCAGGTTAAAAAGTCGGCAAAAATTTTAAACTTCAAAGTGAGTGAGAATAATTTTATACAGAGATAATTTTTTTTAAATTATCAAGAAAAATTCCTGGAAGTCATGGCTGAAACTAGTGACCAGGTTGACACCTTCAACAACAATGCAGGCACGTGTTGCGTTTGTTACAAGAATGTTGAAATCTACAGCATTGGAATGTGCGAGCATCCCGTTTGTTATGAGTGCAGCACGCGAATGCGAGTGCTTTGCCAGCAGAACGAGTGTCCGATATGCCGCCAAGACTTGCCAAAAGTTGTCTTCACCCGTGAAATAAAACCCTTCCGTCATATTCGCAAGGGGAAGCTCTTTGATGAGCGCTATAATATTTATTTTGACGATGAGGAGATCCAAGAGGAGTTCACCAAACTCCTGGCTCAGGTCTGTACTATTTGCGAGCCTAAGGAAGTCTTTAGTACGTTCAACAGTCTTAAAGATCATATGAGAAGAAAGCATGAGCTACATTATTGTGATCTTTGTGTTGAAAATCTCAAGGTAATTTTATATGAAAATTTGTTAATAAAAAATTTATATTTTATTTATTCATTTTAATAATGCTATCTGCAATTTACAATAGTTTATAATAATAATAATAATAATAATAATAATTTTATATATATTTTTTTGACGTAAGTCATTGGAAATTTTCAGTTTTTTGGCTATCCAGTCTAATACAACAATTTTTTTTTCTCTAATTATTCATAATTTTGTCAGTCTGTATTCCCTCCAGGCATAGAAAATTTATTTTCAATTGGTATCTAAATTTGTCATTAGAGATAAATGTCAGGTTTTTCAGTCAAATTCTCTAATGACAAATTTAGATACCAATTGAAAATAAATTTTCTATGCCTGGAGGGAATACAGACTGACAAAATTATGAATAATTAGAGAAAAAAAAAAAAAAATTGTATTAGACTGGATAGCCAATAAACTGAAAATTTTCAATAACTTACGTAAGAAAAATATTATAAACCAGTCTTTAGAAAAAATAAATATTAAAAAAAAAAATGATAATAATAATGTAAGTGTATAAATTTGCAAAATTATAATTCGACTCAATATTATTAATATTTTAATTCACTGAATTAAAATTTACTTAGTTTAAGAATTTTTCTATTCAAATAAAAAAGATGAAGTTCTTTAAAATTATTTACTTGATTTAAATAATTTTTTTGTACAAAAATTCATATCTTAAAAGTCACTCCAAATTTTAATTACTTCTTTTTTAAAAATATTATAGTTATTATTAAAAAAAATTTTAAATCATTAACATATTCATTCATTGTAGTGAATATTTATTTATGGTACTAAAATTAAGAGACACTTGATAATTTTTCAAACATTTTTTAGAACATTTTATTCTTTTAATTAGAATAAATTTGCAAGTGTCAATAACTGGGTTTTTTTTACCTTAATTTAAAAACTTTCTTTAGAATCTCTAAAAAATTTTAATAAAACATTTTTTAAAAAAATTATCAAATATCTGTTACCTTAATTAAAAATTATTAAAATTATTTTCCAGATATTCTCCTTCGAGCGTCGCTGCTACTCTCGAGCGGACTTGGCCCAGCACCGGCGAAAGGGCGACAAAGATGACAAGAGCCACAAAGGGCACCCTTTATGCGAATTTTGCGACTGCAGATACATGGACAACGATGAGTTATTCCGTCACTTGCGCCGGGACCACTTATTCTGTCACTTCTGCGACGCGGATGGCCTGCACCAGTACTACAGTTCCTACGAGTACCTCCGGGAGCATTTCCGCGCCGAGCACTACCTCTGCGAAGAGGGGACCTGCGCCGCGGAACAGTTCACCAGTGTCTTCCGCAGCGACATCGACCTGAAAGCTCACATAGCAACAGCCCACGGAAAGCACCTAGGCAAGCACGCGGCCAAGCAAGCCCGTACTTTAGAACTAGAATTCGCATTTGCGCCCCGAGAAAACCGTAATGGCCGTCAAAGCAGAGCCCTGGGAGGTTCTGGAGTCAGATCTAACTTTTACGATCACGGAATGGGAGGATCTTCAAGGGAAAACCGCGAAAGAGACAGCCAGGTGGATGACAGCGAGGTTAATTGGGTCGATGAACCCATCGCTCGGCAGCCGGATGTCCAAAGCACCGAAGAATTTCCTTCGCTGAGTAACTCTCAGACTGTAATTCCTAATTTCAATTTAATGAAGACCAAAGGTCGCGGAAATTTGACGATAAGAAGCATGATGAAGGGACCAGCGTTAGCTGTCACTGATGAAAATTTCCCCGCTCTTGGTCTTGGTCTTAATCTCGACCCACCAGCAGCTAATAGCAGCAGCAGCAGCAGTAGCAGCAGAACTGTTAATTTAAGTGTCTCTAGCAATAAAAAAGCTGCTCAGCAACGTCCTAAAAGCGCAACGCCTGACGTATCCATCCAAGTAAATCACAACACCAACGGTAGCATAACTACTCGTGTTTCCGGACCGAAAATAAGAATAAGACCTTGTCAATTATCAATGAACTCCCGAGAATTTCCTGCTTTGGGTCGCGCTGAGCCTACTACTTACACTGCCACTACAAATGTAGGCCAGTGGACCAAAGTTACTTGCGTAAAACCAGCCATAAATAACAAAGTAGCTCCTGCTCCTAAGCTTGAGTCAAAAACTCCCTCACCACCGCCAATGAATTGCAACGCTTTTCCTAGTCTGCCCGCGCAGAAGTCGACTCGCGCTAAAAAACAGCAACCCTCTACTAGCTCAATATCTTCAGCTTCAGCTTGGAACCAAAAAACCAGCGAAAGCTCGGATCCCAATACGGCGGATGCTGCTAAGAATAATTCCAAGAAGAAAAAGAAGAAGAAAATTAATAAAGCTGAAGGGGAATTAAGCGGTTTTTTGGTGGAGAGTAAAGTTAGTGATAATAATTTGGAAAGGTCTAATTCTAGTGGAAAAAATGAGACCAATGATTTTAGTAAAAGTTCCAAGAAAAAAGCTAGTAATAAATCTACGGAAGAATCGGTTTCGGCAAGTACAACGACGACTACTCCGAGAAAACGCTCGGAATTAAAAATAGAAAGCTTGAATAAAGCTACGAATGATTTACAAGTTAGTGATGATTTTCCGGAGTTGAAAAATTCTAAATCTAATTCTAATCCACCGCCGGGATTTAGCATAGCTCCACCGCCTCCGGGGTTCGCGGTTAAGTTGATAAACCGTGAGATTAAAAATAATGATAATGGGTTGACTTTTACAAGCAGCTCTGGGGAAAGTTACTCTATTTTACCTGACAAGTCGACTAAGTTATTTGCTTACTCTCCGCCGCCTGATTTTCAAAAGCGCAATCAAGATCTTGTGGCGAGAATATCAAAAGTTCTAGACCGTCAAGAATCTATTGAAGAGTTTCGGTATGTCAGTGGATTGTTTAGACAAGATTTGTGCAGCGCTGAGGATTATTATAGGCACTGCAGAGATTCTATGGGGGCTAAAGAGTTTGGGAGTGTCTTCTCGGAGATGCTGGTCCTTTTGCCGGATATTCAGAAGCAAAGAGAACTCTTTGATGTTCATAGAAATGAAGGTGGGAATATTATTCTTTTGGAAGTTTGTCCAACTTGCGAGCAAGTTATTAAAATTGGAACTGACGCTAAAGCTCATTACTCCAGCCATTCACGTGACAGCCACTTTCCGGCACTAGGAAGCGGTGGAGGGTCGCTGACTTCTAACTCCTGGCGGAAATTTACATGATGGTTTTTTTTTTTATTGAAAAATTTTATTATAAAACACGGATTTATTATTTTACTTTGTTTCTTTTTTAAAGGTCAGGCGAGATTCAAGACTCGTTGTACATAAAAACGATCTTTTTGGATTAATTTCAGTTTGAAATTTTGGTCTAAGGGGGTATTCTAGTCTAGAAGCATGAATTTCAGGTAATTTTTTGAAGTGCTGAAAAAAAAAGGCAATCAATATTTTTATTATCCATTTTTTTTATAAGTTATTTCGCATGCCTAATGCCAAAAGGGCGTTTATTTTTTTTTTTTTTGTGCCAATCGTTTTGTAAACATGTTCTAAAAATGAAAAAAAAATTTCCAAAGCCAAAAGGGCGTATGTCTCAAGTTATACGCCCTTTTGGCTTTAGAACACTGAAAATTTAGTGATCTAAAGGCAAAAGGGCGTATAATTTTTAACTTCCCCTTAAGAAAATTAAAAATTTTCTAAAAGCGGAAAGTTATTGGTTTTACCCCGTTTTTTGAAAATATAGTTTTCATTTGATCTATATTCAGTTATACTCAGCTCAAAAAATTTTTTAACGACTAGTTAATAATTTCTTACTTATAATAGGATGTTTTTTATTCTATACATACATATTATGGATTTTAACTGCAATTTTATGCAACGAATAAGAAGGAAATTTATAAAAAATATAAAATTTTAGTACGCGAAAAAATTTTTAATGCATATGCTTCTTTAATCATTAGTGTCCAAAATGATGAAAATTTAAATTTACTGCTACCGAAACTGTTGACTTTTTCAAAATTTTTTTTTTCACAACCTTTCTCCGGACAATTTTGAAGACTGTTGTTCGAAATTATGAAAAATCTTGATTTTTTTATACGCCCTTTTGGCATTAGGCACGTGAAATATCTTATAAAAAAATGTATAGTAAAAATATTGATTGCCTTTGTTAACGGTACCTCAAAAAATTACCTGAAATTCATGCTTCTAGACTAGAATACCCCCTTACTTAACAGTGGATTAATATTGATCAATGATTTTTTTTTTAAATCAATTAGTCTTGATATTATTCATATTTATCTTGACGGTAACTGCCAAAAAAAGTTATGCGACACTGGATTTTTTTTTAGTAAGTTAACTGTACATAACAACAGTAATAATTACTAATTAATTGATCCAGATATCTAACAATTTTTAGGTGATTGTATATTAAATATATAAATAAATCAGTGATGCTGGAGAATCATCTTACGTTGTAAGTTATAAAAGATATTAATTAATAACATGAACTTTCATGAGCAATGTACCATTTTGTACAATAATTCTTATAGTAACATAATAAATAAATATATTATATATTAATTAAAGATATTGATGATGATAATGAATAAAGTAAAATAATTAAGATTAAAATTAAAAACTAAATTTATTTCCTGGGTTTTTTTTTTTTTTTTTAAGAATCGTGTAAATACAACGTTAAGAAAATAAACAATTATTATTAATTAAAAAAAAATGCACCTTCATACCTGAACTAACACAATTATCTTAATACTTTTTTAAAAATGAAAAAATGCTCAACCAGGAAAAATTCAAGCTTAAAATAATTTTTTGGAATTTTATTTTTATCTTATCTAATTGCTTCATAAAAATAATCACTGACGGGAATTATTTCGTAAGATTTTATTTTATACGAATAAAAAAAAAATAAAATTCCAAAGTAAATAAATTTAATTATAATAAATTTTAAAATTAGATTGCAATGCCTCAAAAATGCAGCAGTCAGTGCAAAAAATTATATATTATTTAAATTAAGGGGGGGAAACGTGTAGAAAAATGTTTTCATGCTGATTTTTTATTAATTTTTTTAAGGTATGAAAATAAACAATGTATGAACAATGGTGAAAAATGACCGATGCACTTTAGTATGAAATGTGTAGAAATGCAAAAAAAAAATTTTCTTCAAACTAAAAATTTTTTTTGGACTTAGAAAAAAAAATTAAAATTTCAAAAAAAATTTTTTTTGAGAATCGACAAATTTTTTCATGAAATGTGTAAAAATGCAAAAAAAAATTTTTTTCTAAACTAAAAATTTTTTTGAACTTAGAAAAAAAAAATAAAATTTTTATTATACGCCCTTATGGCATCTGGAACATGATATGTATAAAATAAATTGATAGTTTAAATAAATAATATTAATTTTTTATACCTTAATTAATGAAAACGACCTTCTACACGTATTTCCCCCCCTTAATTAAATTTATTTTTATCAATAATAATTATAATAATGAAGAATGCGAGACCAGATCATTATCTTTGGTCATCACCGATAAATCTATTTGAATATAGTAGATAAAAAATTTAATGACAAATTTAATAGTAATTGTTATTGTTTATCTTTTTCAGCCCTTAATAATAATTAATTACATTTAATTATTTTACGATTTACATTAAATTATGATGATACCGCGAGTGGATAATGATTGAGACTGATCTTATCACTTTTTAGCAAGTTCATTGCTGAGCCAGTCGAGACCCTCGTAGAGCCCCTGGCCCTGGGTAGCGCAAGTGCTCTGGATGTACCAGTGACGGCCTCGTAAACCATTCAAGCCTAATTTTTCAGTCAATTCCGCGGCGGACATCGCGTTCGGCAGGTCCTGTTTGTTGGCGAACACCAGGAGGACCGCGTCTCTCAGCTCGTCTTCCTTCAGCATGTTGTTGAGCTCGATCTCCGCTTCGGAGATTCGCTCGCGGTCATTACTGTCCACTACGTAGATAAGTCCTTGTGTGTTTTGGAAGTAATGCCTCCAGAGCGGACGGATTTTTGTCTGGCCACCCACGTCCCAGACGGTGAAACAAATGTTCTTGTACTCGACGGTCTCCACGTTGAATCCAATTGTCGGGATCGTCGTTACTATTTCACCGAGCTTTAGTTTATATAAAATTGTCGTTTTACCAGCAGCGTCCAATCCTACCATCAGAATTCTCATCTGCTTTTTTCCAAACAAACGAGTGAATAAACTACTCACTGTCAGCCCCATTTTCGGTTATCTAAACATAAAAAAATTTTTGATTTATTTAATTGGAATATTATAGCAACCTTGCAATCACTATGTGACTGCCGTTATTTATGAACAATAAATAAATGAAATTTTGCTTTATTAAATAATGACTTTTGTTAAATTGCACTGTACTTTCTTAAATATTGACGTTTTTATAGATATAAGTTCATCTCGATGTTACACTCATCAAGAGCTTTCATTTGAGTACCCACATCAATTTTTTCATATATTTATATATATATATATATATATATATATATATAT